ACTGTTAGTGTGGACATTTCCCTCCCCATGTGGACGAGCCCTGCAGGGTTGGACCTTCCTTTTGGAGCATCGGGGGTGTCCATTTGTCGTTAATCATATGGCATAGAGCCTTCCTGAAGTGGCAGTCAGTCTCTTGCTTGCACATTGGAGGAAAAGCTGCCTTGCCTCTCTTTCTTTACATGCTAGAAAACCCCTTTTTTATGTACATGATAGAAGTCCTGTTTGAAAGGCTCTTTTAATGTAAGCTTGAATGAAAGTGTGATTAGGAGTGAGCTAACTGTCTGTGAGCTCAGTTTTTAGCAGACTGTTGTAAATATTGTTAATAATTTGTCTTGTTTATTTTGTTTTCTTTCCTCTTGAAAGAAACTTTGTTTCTGTTGTAAATAACTGTTTGCTTTGGATTTAAATGAACAGTTTTTTTTTTTTGTTGAACTAATTGATTTTGCTTTTGTTTCATTTAATAGTTTTTTTCTTTCTATTGTTTTGTGTCACAGTTCTGAATGTTTTTAGTAGTATGCATGTTGTGAAAAGCCTTGTTAAAATAAAAGGAACTGTGTTACGAATGGAACATCGTTTTTGACCCTCCCTCCTCCAGGTGAGACACACCTGTGTGTCTTCATTTATCAGGGTTGACTGAATTATATTCCTTGTGGTGAAATTCTCCAGGTGGCATCGTTGGTTTAATAATACATGTCTTAGAAATTTGCGGTAGGTTTAAAGCCAGGCTAAAATGCTAAACACGAGTCTTCAAAACTGTAGTACACAAACCAATGGGTGACATCACAGTGACGACGTTGATTTCTTTTATACAGTCTATATTTATGATCCCCTGAGGATTCTAAGTTTTGTTGACCCCATGAACTTTCCTCTGGTGTCACCATCAGGTCAAAATCTTTGTTGACAATAATTCCTTCGTTCTAAAAATGGCACAAAAATCCGCATGATACCCAGGGAGATGGATCCTAATGATTTTGGTGACCTCCTGACTTTTACGCTAGTCCATTGTCTGTCTAACTGATATTTTACCATAGTTTCTGAGCACATTCATGCTCCCTATTGTAAGAACCTACTTAAGACTCTTAGGCTACGTTGATACTACATTCCTCGTATGTGTACATATACCTGGCAATAAAGCTGATTCATGCTCGATTCCGATTTTTTTTCCCCCCAGACCTGTTTTTTTTGTTTGACAGATCACGTTATTGTTTAAATGTGGTCCATATCGACTCCAATGTGTACTGTCCACGCCCTGAAAATGACCCGCATGCGCAGAAGAATAAAACGTCACACGCAACATGCTGTCGTAAAGAAGTAAACAAGGGGCCCAGTTGCCTCCCGGGGTCACATGTCCCAAATTATGACAAATGTTCATAACTTTCTGTTAACTTTCTTTCCATGACATTCATTACTGTTTCTGCTGCTGTACAACACATATGCCCCACAACTCACTCAAACAGATACCAGATTTTATTGTGAGAACCATGCACATTTGATTTCAAATAATATTTGCAGTAATATGGAGATCCACAACAGTAAGACGAGAACAGTGAGGACTTTTTAACGTTAACATTAGCCTGCATGTCTGAAGGACAGCTGCAGTTGAGAAAATATGACCAAACTACAAATAAAGGGTCAGCACTAATGTGTGTCCGAACAGGAGAAAGAGAAGCGGCCTGAAGAGTTCCTGTGAGAAAGAGAAAGGTCTATGTAGAGTCCCCTCCAAAAGTATTGGAACGGTAAGGCAAATTCCTTTGTTTTTGTTGTTCACTGAAGACATCTGGGTTTAAGATCAAAAGATGAGTATGTAGTAGACCTAAATTTATTAGTTATGCATTTTAATAAATTTATGAGAATTGATACCCAATTATGAATTAAAATTCATAAAATCAGAATTTCCTCGTTAAGGGCACCACCGGAGTTGTTATAATCCTAGATTCTCCGGACCTCTAGGTAGTTTTGAATAATTATACAATTATTACTAGTGATCAGGTAGTTAATAATCGCTCAATTATCTTAAATCAGTCAGTCAGTCTCATATCTAAAGGGTCAATTCTCTTGGCAGGAACTATAAATAGGCAACACACACAGCTCTTGATTATATTACAGTGAATTTATTCTCTAACTAAGGTGATAAAAAGATGGTTGGATACAGGGAACATAAACATTTGCTGAACAATGAGCCTGGAGGTTCGACTGTGGGAAGCATTTGACTCATACGGCATAGAAGAGCTACTGAAAGTAAACTAATGCTATAGTTTAGGAGTTACAATGGACATCTGATCACAGGACGTGTGTTAAGTCTTACTGCTTGTCGACAGCCTGCTTTTGGCCTGTTGCACGGGTCCCACTCTAGCTGCCGATCCTGGCTTTTGCTAGGGATTCTCCGGGGTTCTCCGTGTCTGACTGAAAAGCCTCCTCCATCTGGCAATTCGGCTGTTTTCAGGTTTCCTTCGTTGTAGCTGGCGAGACCACGTGGCTTGGTCTGACCTCGGTGAAGTTGGCTCGAAAGGCTTAAAATGGAACTTGGTCGTTCCTGAATTAGTCCAGTGTAACTTAACGGACTGATAACTTTAACAAACAAAAGAAATAAAGAAAATAAAACAAACTGAAGGCAGATCGATGTCGCGGCACTTCAGGTGTGTAGCTTCAGGCGAACAAAGGCCTGTTTGTTTCGCTGGCCGAGTCTGGGCGTTGCACGCTGCTCCTGCCGAAGCGTCCAGAGGGCCGAGCAGGGTGGAAGAGCCAACAGCCAAGAGAAGAGAGCGAGCAGGTCGCGTGTCGCTCTTTTGTTGCCTGGGGCGTGGTTCCCCAGGGGGCGTCTCAGGTTTCCCCAGGGACTGCCTTTCTAAACTTAATGTCTAAAGAAAAGAAATCTATTTGCACGTATTATTATCAAATATTTCCACAATCGAACCTCAATGGTTGAACGGTTGTACTGTTCTAAGCATTTGGTAACAGGAAACAATTGTCACATTACTGGTCAGGATTTTTATACATTTAACCGCATTTCCGATGAGGGCATGTAATACTTATTTCGTCCACTTGGGGGAGCTCAGGTTACATGAGGAAAGCTTGGATTAAATCAAAGATCGTCTCTCCTTAGGAACCGGGGAATATTGTTGATTCATCCTTAAATTCAAGCTGGCGATTAAGAGTATAGTAAAACATTTCTTTGTCATCATTTCTAAAGGGATTTTGTAAGAAAGTATTATGAACAAGCATTGATTACATCAGATGAAGGAGTGTCTTGCTGGAAATAAAAACATTGCACAAGTAACTTCTTTCACTAATATCAACAACAGATAGCAACAACAGTTAACATAACTACTCAAATAGAGGCAAACGTATTCAGGCAACTAAAGATTTAATTAACTTAATTAAATGCTTTGAGTATTTGGAGACTGCAGTCCTCTGTCATCCAAAGTTCAGTGTCTGGACAATGTCACACTTAGGTGAGACAGGGGTTTCCCTTTTTGATGTGGTAATAAAACAAAACGTGTGTGGTGGGGCCAGTTTTGATAGGCTGTTCAGGGAGATGCCAATGGCTGGCTCGTGTCCCTTTGTCAGTTTAACAGTCAGGCCCCGCGTTATCAGCTTCGGAATCAAAAAGGTGCCAGTTTTATGGTCGGGCTAGCACTTAGAGAAAGCAACTTTGACCCCTCCCCTTCTTCTCTGGGGAGGAGAAAGGAATTTAGGGTAGCTCCAAATTTATTCAATGTAAAATGCACAAATCCACACCGTTGTTCACTACACACACGTATAATAATGGCCTTTGAGCTTTTTCGTTCATTGCGTCTGGCGGGGGAACAGCTGCTTCAGAGTGATGTCAAAGTCGCATCAATTCTGATCTGACGATCCAGACTGAGGTCGCACTCCAAAAAATCCGACCTGTATTGGATTTGGACCACATATGAAAGTGGCCCAAATCCGAACTGTAAAAGATCAGATTCCATGTGACTCTGCCTGTTCACACGGTTATAAAAAGATCAGACACTGCTCTCAGTTTCGTCATAAGTAAAATATTAAGCAATGCATTTGCAGTGGATATTTATGATCCACAAAGGATGAATCAAAATGTTGTTGGTGTCCCCATGACAGAAAAAATTACAGAAACAATTATAACATTCTAGTATAATCTTTACCATCTTCGTTTAGCACACTAACATTTGCTATTTAGCATGTGGGAACGTCACTGATTTTGCAGGTATTTGGTCATCATTTTGGACGCATTACATAGTTGACCTGATGATGGTGCTAGATGAGAAGTCAAAGGATAACCGAAGTTCTCAAAAATGAAGATATTTCGGGCTGTGGACTGCCGCCGGTAGCATTGTGGCTTCAACAACTACTAAGAAAACTTCTGAGCAGAGTTCACCAGGGGATGAACCAGTTTTATTTACTCTTGAGTTGTCCTTTAGATCTTCATCGCCCACAAGCCAAATTGTCAAATTTGTAAGTAAAAAAAAAAGGGAACAATAAATAAGTTGTAGATAATTATGGTCCCAAGAGGTTGAATTTGTTTTTGGTGGCCTTTCACTGTAGCACCACCATCAGACCAATATTTCCAGTTCTACAAGATGAAAAAAATAATTAAATGTAATAACCAGATTTCTGTGACCCTTCTGTTCCCTAAAGGATCCCTTTTCAATTTGGACACCCCTCAAAGTTCCCTCTTCTTCTAAACTCAAGCCACATACATTTAAAGTTAGCCGTGAAGTTTTATGCGGACATTTACACTCCTCAGAGGATTTACGCATTTGATTTTAAACACTTCCTGAACTCCATCCAAAATTACACATTCTGAGGTGAACACTGCAGCCTCTAGCAGCTGCTAACAAGGCTTGTTTTTGCAGTTTTACCATTAAAGAAAATCTTAAATTTTAGTGTACTTATTTAAAAAAACATCTTACCAGAAACCCCTCCGGCACTCCAGCCAGATTCAAACATGCACTACAGCAGAAGTCTGAAAGTGGTAAAATGTAGTTATCAAGACAAACAGCGATGATTTTCACATTTAATAATAGACAAAAATGTTCTGTCATTCTTTTATGTACATCAGTAATTACAAGTTCAGTAAGCCATTATCCTCAAGTTTTACATGTAGTTTCATCAGCTTCTAGTAATGCTTGTTCATCGTTACACTGCTGTCTTACATACAAAATATGCTATGTACTGCAGTCACATTTATAAAAGCCTGGAGAGTTTTGCCATAAATGATTTTTAAAACCATTCAACATGTCATTCACAATACTTTCTCATTATTTACAAAAAAACAGCAACTGCTAAATTATACATATTAACAAACTATTCCTCAGTATCTATAATGCCGCTATACAAAGAGACAGAAAGACAGAAAGAGAGGGCAATGCCTGATTTTACAATGACCTTATTCTGCTGCTTTAACCTATGTAATTAAGCATTTTAAATACATATTAATGCTGCCAGTGTTTAAGAAAACTCTACTTGTATTTTAAATATTAGGGAGATTTCCAGTAACTAATAACACTTAATAAATATGTATTTGCTGTACATTGCTATCAGTTAATACAGAGATTAAAAAGGTGAAATAAGGCCACTGTAAAGTTAAAGTGTTACCCGATAAAGTTTGAGGCTTGGAAAGCGGGGTGAGATAGAGGGAGTTCGTAGACGGGCTCATCTCTTTAAATCGAAACAAATTTGACAGGTGTTTCACATGTAAGGTGGCACATTGGCAGACAGTGCACAGGGTTCCTACACATTTGCCTTTGCAAATTTCCACACTCCCTCTTGGCTATTTTGACCAGCTCGGGCCCACTTCACACTCTGGGAGCTCCACACAGTGGCGAGAGGTAATCATCTGAAGAATCTGAACTTTAGGATGCAGGAATTAGGCTCGCAGCAGCTAACCCCTGCTGTGATGCAATGAAAAGGCATATGTTCACAGCTTGTCACGGCTATAGCGGACTAAACCGGGCCTGTGGAAAAACAGCAATTAATGCGTCCGATTAGACTTCTTTAGAGGTCGGGTGGAGCTTTACTGGGAATGTGCTGAGGAGACCAAACCAACATGGTCTGGACACAAACAAGGTCACAACAGCCAATAACATTTGACCTGAAGCTCAACCAACCAATCAGCATTACAATCTAGAATTTGTAGCTGGTCATACTGTAATTAATTAGACAAACAAATATGGAATGTGTCAACTTGAGGAAATAATGACGCACTTTTGTATTACAAAAATGGATTTTAGGTCATATTGCTCATCCCTACTAAAAAACATCTAATCTGTCAAAAATGACATGTGTAGGAACCCAGTGTGAGGCTGCTGACTATAGATTTGGGTCAAATAGTATTTACAGATAACCGAGTTTGTTTTTAATCGTTTCAACCATCATATACCAAATCTAAGTGGGTGAAACTGGCCACACAGGACAACACAATAAAATTGCTTAGGTTTGTCAAATAGGTGTTACCATGGAGGCAAGAACAAACACTATCAGACGCAAGATCTGCTTGTCTGAACCATCAAGCACAAAAAGATCATTGTTATTCGAGGCTCTGGGCAGACAAGAGACCTTACATCTTCTTTACAAGTTCAGTGTCTTTCTCAATACATCTTCAACAAGACAAACCAGCTCTTACATGGTCTGACCCGTGACCTTCCAGTTACTGTGCTGTCTGTGTTAACCACTGAACTGCCCTGTCACCCGCGGGCCAGAGAGCAACTCATGACAGCAGGCTGCTGGGACTTACAAACCGCCCCCAGCGAGCTCCAGTTTACAAATTCACCGCGGCTGCACAGGTGATTTTTTTCATTTTACATTCATTTACAAAAGAATAAAAAACACAATCTTCATTCTTTGTGAAATTATTACTACAGTACATTGGAATCAGCTGTAGAACAGATTCATATCTGAAGAGTTTCTTTGCGAAATGAGATCTCTGCTCTATGTGAAAGAAAAGAAAATTTGCAACTGAAGATGACTATAGTTATACATTTTGTCACTGAATATTACCGGAGAATGTGATAAGTGATTTGTTTAACAGTGTTCATCATAAAAAGGTAGTTTTTTTTTTGTTTGTTTTTTTTAAATGGAAAGAACATTTTCATCTACAGAAAATCAAATATATGAGATGTTGACTGATCTCCGAGCTGCTCCTGTTAAAGTGAGAGTGCTGCTGATGCTGCAGAGGACAGAGATGAGACCCATTTGATGATGGGTTATGTGACGATGTGTTTGCTCGCCTCTGTCCATCAGCTCAGGATCACATTTTTCCTCCAAATAATTGTTAATTGGCTCTTTTGTTTTAAACTGCTCAGAGCACCAGATATGGACATATTAATTTATTTGGATCCCCATTAGCCACTACCAAGGTAGCAACTACTCTACCTGGGGTCCACACAAGTAAACATAATGCATACTAATACATAATGTAAAACATTTAATATGTCCTGTGAACTAAGGCCCGTCAATTTGTGAAGCAAGTTAAAACAAAAAGAGAAAAATTTTCTACTAAACTAAAATCGGTGCTGAAGATTTGTGTCTTCCTAGAGCCACAGAGATTTGAAAATGTTCCCCCCATTGTCAGCATTTCACCACATAAGATTTTTGGAATTGAATAGCACCTCCAAACGATGGTTGGTTATCTGCCAAACAGACTGGTAGTGCAGACAAACAAAGTCCTGGCATACAGAGCAGGGAGGACAACCCATCCTCCTCACTCTGCTTTCAGATGAACTGAAATAGTGTTTAATAAAATGTTTTATGCAACTCAGAAAAACTTGGCAGGATTTTCTTGTAATTTGTAATCAGGTGACACAGACCAACATCTTACATTCAGCTAATGATTGTTATATTCTACCTTCAAGTTTCTGCAGAAGCGACCGAATAAACATCAAAGCCTAAACTGGGCATGATGGTTGAAAAAGGTTGTTCTAGTGGAGAAAAGAACAAAACATGATTGACAATAAAGTGAAGTGCTTTGATTCCTCAGTGCTAGAATGAATAGAGCTGACTCCTTAACCACGCGCTGCTCGCTGGGGTCACTGAGTGGAGTTGTGAGCACATCCAGCTTTCTATAATTACAGAATGTCAACTTTGTTCATGCTTTCTGCTCTGACCTTTTCCCAGTGCTAAAAATGTGCCCTTTAACCAGACAGTGAGCAGTTCTACTATGCTGAGCACATGTGAGAACCTGGAACTAAGTACGCTGCTTTCTTTAGGGCAAAATCCAAGTTATTAAATAGTTCTATTACTGTACTTCTCAGAGAGCAGGGAGGTATTAATTTTGTTTGAGTCAGGAGGAGATTTATTTACTATATCTGTGTATGCTACTGCCTTCAGTCAAAGACCTGCAGGTGTTGTAGTATCCAACATATATTCAGCAATGACCAGTATGGATTAATTTAAGACAAAAGGACAAAAACAAAAAGGAAATAAACACAGGTCTGACAGCCTGGCGCCCTTACTAAACAGAAATTGACTTGAGACATTTTAAAGCAACGGCTCTGTTTCACACTAGCAGTTTTTTTCTTTTGTGTGTCTTGTGTTTGCCTCCTATTTTTTACTCTGTGGCTTCCCTCATTTTTCCCCAGTTGACAAGAAGTAGTAATGTTTCTTTAAAAATGGACCAGTGACTTCAAGATACAGGACTGTGGAAAATCAGGTAAAGCCGATATAAAAGAAAGTAAAAATAAAGGACTGGCTTAGAGCAACCTCACACATGGAGCACAAAAACAGAGTAAACCCAAGAGACCAGGAGGCAAGATATTTCAGGAGCCAATTTAAGAAAAAGTGATGAATGTTTTTCTTTCTCATCTATTTTTTAGAATCAATATCCGAAGTCTTCCACGAGATGCGGTCAATTCAAAAGTCCCCTTTAAAAAAAAGGTGCAAATAAGGAAAGAGACGCTGATAGAAACAGACGCCGACAATTGCATTGTGGCTGCTCACTTTGTTACCGTATGTGTGCTTCATGTTCAGAGTTGTTGGCCTGGTACCATTTAAATGTTGGCATCGTGCTACAGTGAAGCTGCAGCACTGCATCAATGTGAAAACATCATCACTGCTGCAGGGGCTAACTGGGCAGCCGTAGATAGCTCAGGGACATACATGAAACTATCGCCATCAAACAGCAGGGGGAGAGCGACAAGGTTTCTGGCATTTGTGGGGGGATGTGTTGGATTTAGGGACACGGGAGCAGCAATTAGAGTCTATGGATTTCTTAGGCAACGATCACAGAGGATGCTGAACCAATCCCCACGACTCCCCTCACACAGATCAGCCTAATCACCAGTCAATCAGAGTCAGACGATCTATAGAAAACCTGTTTCACATGAGCTTGGGGCGCAGCACTTCCCCAGGGACAATTGTTAAACACTGGAGGGTTTTTTTTCACCTCCAACTCTTCTGCTTTGTGTCCGAGAGCACTGCGTGTGCACCTGTGTATGCAGAGCCAGTGGATTTCATTGCAACTGGAGGAGTAATTAGCTGGAAAAGTTCCAATAGGCGCTGGCTTACGATCCAGACAGCCAGCCAGCGCGAATGAGATGTTGCTGTGGTCTTGTTTTGTACTTGGCCACACAGCCAGACTGGAGACAGACAGGCAGAAAAGGCGGTTTGCTCGGCAGCCGGATGTTCACAGAGACAGAGGGAGACGGGCAGAGACAAAGCTCCAGACAGGCCACAGAGAAGACAGCGGCAGAAGACATAGAGGCCGATTAGAAATGTCACAGACTCTTTAGATGGGCTTTGGCTGCATGGCCAGCTTCCTACAGTGGATCCTCATTAAAGGAAGACTGAACATGCTGTTAGCTTGCTCGGAGGCCGAGCTGTACAGGACCCCAGTGACACCAGTCCTCAGTGCTGAGCTGTGAACATGACAGCAGGCGACAATGGGCTACAAATGGGTACAAGGGCCTGGAAAGTTGGTTTTTGGAAGTATGTCTCTGTGTGTTTTTTTGTGTCTGTGTGCATGCGCAGCTGAACATGTCCAGTTAATTCCTGCCTTCAAAGTAAAACAATACAAAACAAAGAACAACAATAACTTAAGTAAAACAAGAATATAGAGGGATGCAAAGTCTCTGGATTTTTCAAAAACTACGAGACGAGGATCTCTTCTAGCAGCAAGCCGTGGCCGCCTCGACTCCAACGAGGCGGTGTCGACAAATGTAAATGTCTTGACGTGAAAGGGTGAAGTCAGCACCCGCTCTGTCCCTCCCTCCCTCCCCTGCCACCTCTCTTTGTGTCCAGTTTCTGTCATTCAGTTTGTGGGGACCCGTAGTTCCTGTAGGAGGAGAGGGAGGGGAAGCCCGTTGAGGCTTCAGTCTGCCGGACGACTCGGCCCCTCACCAAAATGTTCCAGTCCTGCATCCCAGCATGCACCTCTCCCTGCCAGAGCGGCGCTGGCATTATGTCTCTGAAGCAGAGAGAGGCTGAGGCGGGGGGTTGATGGGAGAGCATTGGGTGGAGGGGTGGTAGGAGGAGGACAGGGGGCGTGGTCAGATGCAGGTGGATGGTTGTGCGGTGGGCTGCTGTTTGCGGTTTCTCAGGCCTCCAGACTTCTCCTTGTAGCCCACACACATTTGCTGAGAGACGTCCACCAGTGCACTGGCCACTGCCAGACCTGCAGACACACAGAAATATTACAATTAGGTGAATATTACAAAGTTTTTTGATCTGGACATACTAAGCTGTGATTCACTGTAGGGATATCACTTTTTCAAAAGTTCAAGTTCTGATGAATAAGAACAAACACTAGATTTGTTTTAATAAATTCAAATGCAACTTTTCATAATCAGTTAATCATTTAGCTTATAACATCTGACATGTGTGACTAGGGGGTCACTGGTGAAGTTTAAGTGCGACAAGCCAAAGAGAAAGCAGAAGAAGAAAATGCATCCAAATATTTAACATATATTTTTGGTTTCCAGAAACTTTTTAAGTTATTACTGTATAAAAAAAAGGAATGAATAATCTGCCAACGGCAACATAGAAATTCCAAGGGGAGAAGCTGCGGCTGCAATCACATCCTCTGGAATCATACAGTCTCATGGTCTTTCAGAGTAATAGGCTGCAACTATAAGCTTGTTTCTTGATCTCGTAGTGGGTGCAGGACGGTTCAAAGCAACCACATGATGCTCGGATACAAATCAGAGGTAATCTACAGTGCAAACCTCCTCTGGGCTGTTTGGAGAGTGACGAGGTCGGCCACTTTGGAACAAGTTTAACTGTAAACAGATATGCTGTGATGGTGGCAATAGACGGCAGCCTGAGGATTCAACACGCACATAGCCGTATGGGAAACAAGTTAAAAGCATTTTAACAGGAGGCCCTCGCGGGCATGAGGAGATGGTAGGAACACGGCTAACATGGTCTCAACAAAAGCTGCCAGAGGGAAAGCTCCACTGGGAGCCGAGGCAGTTTTGTTATGACAAAGGGACTGTGTGTTAATTAATAAGCGCCTGGGGCGCACTGATGGTCTGGGGACTGCAACTGTGGGATGCAAAGAGGCTATAAAACATAGAAGGGGAAAAATACAAAAAAAGAAGAAATCAAGTTGAGTTCTTGTTTGAGTCCTTGAAGAAAGCAGTAGAAGAAACAGAAAAGTAGAAAAAAAAAACTTTAAGAAAAGTGAAGTGCTTAGTCTGGGTCCTTTCAGACTGTCTTGGAAAGAAAGATAAGGAAAACAGATGAAGGACAGAAAGACTGTAAAGAGAGCAAGTGACAGTGCAGAGGATGAAAGGAAGTAATGGGCTAAATTCTCAGTGCTGTCAGACTGTCCAGGAAAGAAAGAAGGAGGAAGAGAAAGAAAGAGGGAGAGCACAGGAAATATAAGAAAAGACACTAGACTGCACTTTAAACCCAGCCCTCACAGAGAAGAAGGAAAAGAGGAGAACGTAGAGAAAAATCAAGGCAAAATAGAAAAAAACTCTTAGAGTGGGAAAGAGAAGAGCTGCAGCAAGCTTCTTAGCATAGAGAGACAAGACAACACGCAGACAGAAAGATGATGAAGGGAGGAAACTCAGACGAGAGGGAAAGCAACAAACAGTCTGCAGCCTTCATTTCCACACACAGAACTGAAAGGAGAGACAAGACAGAATGAGGAAAACGCGGAAAAGCAGGGAGAGAGTTGCAGCCTGCTCACTGCAGCATCCTTAAAAATCAATATGTCCTTGTCAAATTAATCGTGCAATCATGAAATAATTACTGTAAACAAATGAGATCATGATCAAGATGATCTGTAGCCTCTGTTATACAGTTTGTGTATGATTCCGCCAGTGTCTCAACACTGAGACCACATACCCCACTATCCTTGATTCTCCTCTTCTGTCACTGAGGATCGTCAGTCCGATGTGTTATTTTCTACTCATTTTATGTAAGCAGATATTACTGCCCAAACATTTTAGTTCTCTTTGCACTGGAGGAACAGCGCACCCTTTCCGTTTTTCTTTGTGTCAAGCAGCAAAGCTAAGACATTTCTGTGAAATTAATCTTCATGTCAAAGTGCAATGTACAGTGTAGAGAAAGACAGAAACCACTGGTCTCACGCTGTAACAGGGATGGGAAAATGAAACTTCTACAAAATAATGACTACACCCCTGCATAGACAAGTTACGGTGATATGCAGCAGAACTGTGAAGAAGCCAACTTTCTGTCGTCTTTATTATATGTATAGTCATTTGAGAGACAACCGAAACAGATAAATACATTATGTAAATGAGATGTTGTATGTTGTAGCGGAGACTCAGAATCTCCGGGTTGTCTGTCCCCTGATGAGTGTAAAGCAACATTTAGATGCTAAGAAAGAAAGGTTTAGCTTTGCTGTTGTTTTGGTGTGTCACTGTCGATTGAGAACTTTTTTAAAAAATGACCTGAAATCGCTAGTGTGGAATGAAATCATTTGCAGTTGTAAACAGTGTTTTCAGTTGTATCCACCTTCCTATGGGCATGGTGTAAAATTCTGAGGGAAGAATAATACTATAGAAATATATAAGATCCAAAGAAAAGGGAGTGAAACAAGTTAGAGGAGCTACATGTGCAGTGTAAACTTGTCTTTCTCTAACTATAACTGAAGCTTCATGAGACGGAGGAAGGAAGGAGGCTCAGGGAAAGGATGTGAAAAAAAGAGAAAAAACAATCAAACAGATGAAGTGAGGATAGAAAACAACAAACAAGAGAATGATTCAACGTCTGCGTCTTACCAGACTGTCCTGGAGGAGGGATCCCGCCGGTGCCCCTGGGTAACCGCACAAAGATGGAGAGTACGGCGGCTTTGTTGCCAAAGCAAGGCTCAAGGGCGATGGGTTTTGGTACGGACTGTGGAAAGAAAAAGAAAAGAAAAAAATAAACTGTATTACACATCAAAAGCCCCCCAAATCCTGGTGAACACACACCATTTTCAAAGACATGGATAACAGAGGCTTTGCTGTTACTGTTCTTGTTTGTGTCAGCAACATGCACAGCAACCAAAAAAAGCCCTTTCCCATCCCCTGTAGAGATACACATACTGATCTGCGGGCACAAATTGGATCTCCCCCACTCCCAAAATCCCCCACTGCGCACAATTTCATGACAATGCCGCCTGTGCGCAGTGCGGGCCCCGACTGGATATCAAGTGGCGGCGCTGGGACCGCAGATTTGTGTAGGCGGTACCGGCGGTGCACTCCTGTCACCACAGGCCACCTGACATACCTGACTCTCTAATATCCAATATCTCCTGTTTATCAGAAACTCATCCATATGTGGGGATGAGTTTGCCGCCTGTAAACACTGACCAGATCTGCTGCTGCTCAGCTCGTACAATATTCATGGGTTTACCTCGACGGAGGATATGGGGGACGCCGCCACCTCACCTGCATACAGATAATGTCCTATCTCGCTCTCTCTCTCTCGCTCGCCATCTACCTCACTCTGTATTTCGAATTCCTGAGCCGGACAGGAAAGTGGGCCATGGCATGGTTTCATACACTGCCTCTCAGTTTCCACACACACACACACACACACACACACACAAGTTCTATCCCTTCTCTCTCTGGTCTTTATACTCTGGAGAGTAGAGCTTAACGGCCCAGGTGGAAATGATTGTGGCGTGTGGCACACAAACACCTCACACTGAAACACACCATACACACAGTTTTCACACTCATAGGCAACTGTATACGTACACCATTTTCACCTCGTCACACACAAATTTATCACAGCAAGTCTCTCTCTGAGCGCACACACACACCTAGTGTAAGCATACACATGGGGCGCAGGGCAGTAATGATATTCAGGCTCTGACCCATTTTACACAATTATTCTCTGCTCCGTCTCTCTGAGGCTTACCTTTCATACCAGCAGGATACACAGGCTGTCACACTGGTAGCTGGGGACGTAGCATAAAGACCTGGATGCGCGTGTGTGTGTGTGTGTATACAGTGCAGCTGATGTAGTAACAGAGGGGGGATTCTGTATTTGCTTATGCCCCTACAGATGTGTGCCTGCATATCTGTAGGAGGTGTGTTTTCACATGCGTATCTGTGCAATGGGGTGTGTTCATGTACGATCTGACAGAGAAGGACATTTTATCCTCTCAAGTCATGATTGTCAACGGAGCCCTATTTGCGATTGAGTCGGTCTGTGCACAGGTGGGACTTTAATACTGCGGCACCAACCTCGATCACTACTGTGCAGACCCTGGCTCCAAACGACATCACCAGCGCAATATGACAGCGGGACATATATATTACAGTTCATCATTATATACATTCTATAGTCTTCACAGAGAAGGTTGTTTTGAGCAATTGTAGGTTGCAGAGGAGTCAAAACCTCCCAAAACTCAACAACATGTTGTTCATAACATAGCGTAAAGTAAGCTGATAGGTTGGTGCAGTTGTGTGATTGGGTTTGCAACAAAAGAAAGAAAGAAAAAAACCCTGTGAGTATAAAAGACACACCAAGTATACAAGTATAAATTAAACAGCAATGCAAAGGTCTCTGAAGGTGCATGTTCGCCCACGTGCAACCTACAGAAGCATGTTCCAGTCTTTAAGAACAGTGTAGTAAATTTTATCATTTAATTTTCATTTCTTAAAACACAACAAAAACAACCTAAACATACTGAAATCATAAATTATCTCCTGTCTTCAAGAGGAAAAGAAACAAAAGAGAAGCAAAAAAAAAAAGAAATAAGTTCCTTAGAAAATAATCACTGGAGCATCAGTTTCCCTACATTTTCAACTTTCATTCATGCCAACTGCTTACAGAATGAACACACAGCATAATGCTTTACATGCAGCCCGTGAGGAGATAACAATTAACGGAGAGTTCCCCGCCTGTAAACACTGACCAGATCTAACATCTTTTTAACTCTGCTTGAAATGTATTCAACAGGCAGCAGAATTTCATATGCCATCTGATAAGTGATTAAACTGATGAGGAACTGTATTAGGGAATCTACAGGGATGATTAGACTGGGAACTAGCAGCTCTACACTATCATTTTTAAATAAGCTGTTAAGGGACAATGATGTAAAGAATATCTGTGTTTGAAAGTCAAAAGGCCATGACTTTAACAGATCAACAACACAGATTTCATGTCTGAACGGGGCTTAGAAAGTTCTCAGCTGCTTCGAGCGCGCACACACACACATACACACACACACACACAATGTTCATGCACCTTTTGACAGTGAAGGTTATTAGGAGGTTGTGTGCGTGTATGCCTCTGAGTTTGCAGCAATTTTCAACTGTGTTGATGCTGCATTCACACACATGCAGTGTTTCAGCCCCCCCCTCCACCCCCGTCCCCCGAGAACTGACAGGGGGAATAGTTCAGATGCAGACAAATGGGCTCGTAGTGGGACAGACTCGCCCTGCTGGAAACACTGCAGTCAAGCCAGCAGCAGCATCAACAACACACAGAAAATAAATACTCAGATGTTAGGATACCAGAAGTATGTACAGCACCTCAACTCTGACACGCTGGAATTTTAACAATAAATCATCAATTGCTTTGATGTTGAGAAATGAGTGTGATCAATGTAAGCAAACAAGCCAACATGAGGGGGGGGGTGTCACTGCTTTGTTTTATATCCTCTCCATCGTCAGCTCCCTCCTTGATTATGTTTGTCAAGTCAAGTTTATTTAAAAATGCCGTAATTAAGACAAGTTTGTCCCAAAGGGCTTTATATTCTACACAGCTATGACATCCTCTATTCCAAGACCCTGGACTTCTGTTTTCCATTACAGAAAAAAAAAAAAAAACTTAAATTCTTTCCTATATTGCCTCCTTGTGTCTGTGCTTCTTTTGGAGGCGCTACGGTAAGCATTTTTAACATCAACATTCATTAAAAATACATTTTAATGGCATTTAATTATACAGTCAAAATAAAAATTTTAATCATAAACAAACAAGACCATTGCTGAGAAGATTGGCAGCTTCTAACAACCAGCCATTACACTGATGCATTTATCCTGTTTAGCAAAGTAAAAAGAAGAATAAAAAAAAAAAAATACAGAATGATAACAGGAAGAGACAAGAGGGACGGGTAGCAACAACCTCCAGAACAGTAAGAGCTTTTATGAAAAATGTGGATTTAATTATAAGAAACACTAGGACCAACAACCCTGGTGTGAAAGATAATCATTTCACTTGTGGTATGAATTTTACATGTATGAAGGTATTACAAGTAATTTGACTGACAACTTTCTTAATAAATGCTTCACGTCAAACTTTTGTGTCATTATTTTATTTTTATAATTAATATATATTACACACACACACACACACACACACTCAGTAAAAAGCCTTAACATTAAGACACAAAAAGGTTTACAACCTTTCAATTATGTGACAAAACACTTGAAAGTTGTAATACCATTTATCTTCTCCTGTTGTGCTTTAGAGTTTACAGACACGGTTATGCTAAGGTGCCACAGTTAGAGCCAGAAATCTTAATTGATAGATATGTCAAGACACTGGTGACAAGACAATGGCAGAAGTAATCCTCTTAATTAGAAAAGTAAAGTGTTTCTTATAGTCTCTTTGATTTGGTCATCTTTGGAAAACTAAAATCTAGCCTCTATTAATTTGGCAGAGAACCTTATGGGACCTCATCAAAAAGCCTTATATTGTGCTCTGGAAGCTCTTTAAAGGAGGTTCTTTAAAAACTCACAAGAGAGGTGGGAGTGCACCAGATAAAAGTATCCCAATTAAATAATGACACAGAGCAAATTGCAATTTTGTTTTCCATTTGATTGCAGTGAAAGCCAATATTGTCCCTCAGAGCAATAAAACATCTTACAGCTTTATGTGATACACGAGTGATGACTCAATAACTAGATAAGACAACCAAGTACTCAGTATGAGGATCATTTCTTTCCATTTTCAAAATCGTGGTGCCTGAACATCATTATATGCAGCTTACATGGATTGCTGAGAAACAGGAATAAAAATACTGCCAACTATTCCAGTACAACATTAGGTGGTGCAATATCACACTTGGCTAATTTTGCTTCTCGATCCCTTGGTACAAGAAAAGATGAAACAATTATTTTGGCCTTGCCAGAAGCAATCCAACGAGGCCTGGTTTGCTCCAGTCCACAGGTCTGTTTTCGCCTCAGGCAAAATGTATTTCTCATCTAGTATGTTTACAATTGGAAAAATAAGGGCTGCCCGTGATAGCCTGAATATCTCTCTACTATATGTGTAAAAAACGAATAAATAACAAGAAGAAGACTGGCAGCTTTTAATTTTACAGCTTAGGGCTGTCATAAGACTTGTCTGCCAAGTCCAATTTCTACTGCAACAGCTGCAAGCTGCTCTTAGGTTCTCACTTGTTTACGTGCTTGCTTCTCATTTTCTAATACCGACATCTCATATTCGAACTGGAGAGGGAATAGACACTGAAATAAAATTGGAATTGGAAGAGACATGCTGACAGACTGATGCGGGATGATGTGTGACAGTGGGATCATTTTTATTTCAACAAACACTGAAATTTCATAATTGATTGCAGCGTTAATCAGTTCGACTACTGTCTCCAATGTAAAACTTCAGTTTCAACCTGAAAGGTACAAGCCAGGTGCTTCACTTTAAATTTGGCAAAAACGAAACAGGGAAACCTTAAAAAACTCAACACAATTTATCTTATTCAACACATGCCAACTTTTGTTTTGTCCTGAGCAGAAATTAAGGGGGAGGGGGACAAAACAAAAACACCTTGAAAAATTCAATTATCCATCCTTTTAAACTCTTTGTGCATGTGATTTGTTTTTCTTTGCCTAAGATGTTCACCAAGGGTAGTGTCTTTTCCTGTGGTCTTCTTCAGAGGC